AGCCTCCAAAAGTGGATTAGCTGCTGCCAGAACAGAAAAGAAACTTTTTGTAATACCAAAATGAGGTTACTTATTGTGTGCCAAGCACAACAGTAGCAATGTGTGTAGCCATGATGAGAACAGGTTGCAAACAATACAGACTTTTTTCTGAATGCTTCCTCCCTCCATCTACACAGCAAAATGAACCACTTGCATTTAAATTCACCTTCTGGCTGGCATTTTTCTATAATAGGAACAGGTATTTCTGATTCTTCAAAGTGTGATTCCTCTGACGTCCTCCAGTCAAGTCCCTGTTAATATGTTTGTCTGTCTTGTTATCTGCCCCCAATCCAGTCTCCTTCCTTGATGCACGCCATACTGTCCTCCTGTGGCTGGAACAACTTGTTCCTAAGACTCTTGCTCAACTAGTGTAAATTCCCCAACTCCTGGCTTCTTTAATGATTTCTCATTGACTCCACAGCTACTTTGTGGATCATTCACAGCAATTAAGTCTGAGATCTGCATAATTCAGTGCCTGGCTTCTATCTGATGAGTATCATGTCACAGGAGCTTTGGCCGAGCTTAAGAATGGGTTCCAACAGCTTATTTTTATGTGCTTTTGAAATATCTCTATTAGTATTGTAGTTAACCTTTTCTCGTTAGCTGAGAAACATTAAAAAAAAAAATCCCCCAAAACCACTGGTGCAGGCCCTGACAATAAATGAGAAAAAAAATGCTATCTTCAGATTACCTCCAATCATTACTGCACCCACGGCCTGAGAACAGAGCAAAGTTCTGCTTGAACACAGTCTAAGTACTTTCCTCATTTCGTTAAAGAGAATTCTCCACCACCATGAATGTACTTTCCCCAAGCCCATTTAGTTCTCAGCCCATGTTTTCTCTCTGCATTAGTCCTTCATCTCTTCTTCCTCTTTTTCTGCTCAAGGATTTTCTATTCCATTTTTCCCCCTAGTCTATGTTCTCCCAATGCATTGTCTATGCCCTCCTCTTCTTAATCCATTAGCCACAAAACTGTACTGACCTCCCTAGACAAAACCATTTCTCCCTTTGCATTTGGTGTGTCTTCTGCTTTCCATGTCCTTCTGTCAGGTCTAGCTCAAGTCCTGCTTTTATTCCAGTCAGGTAATTTCCTTCTCATGACCATGATTCCAGAAATGGGTGTCATTAGGAATACAAGACCACTCCTCGCTTTCAGACCAAAGGGCATGAGAACACAGAAATTCTTGTTTGTACAAAAGCCTTTTCACCGTGCACACAACTCTGAGTTTTTATCTACAAAAACCTAACAGACTTAACTCAGTAATTATTAATTATAGTTATCTAAATATTTGAATGCGGTTTTATTTGCATCAAGAAAGGAACAACAACTAACAGATTTGTCAGGAATATATCAAGTGCAGTCAAACAAATATCAGCTCTAATAGGATAACAGGTCTTGTGGATAGGAGCAGCAACAGAAACAATATAACTTCAGTTTATCAGGGCTTTGAACGCTATCTAATGTGACAGCTTCATTAAGAAGTTAGGAGACCATGATATACTTAGAGATTCAAGAAACTGTGAAATAGGTGCAAAACTATTATGAAAATGGTACTCATGGACATCACTGTCAAATTGGAAATACAAACTAGGATTTCAAAATACAAAATATTTCAAAATACAAAAATAGGATTCCACTGGGGACCATCCTCCATTCAATATAATTCAGATATTTTTTTTAGGACTTGTATGTTGAAATACAGACTGCAGGTAGCAAAGCTGAGATAGATTATTTATAAGAAGCTAGAGATGAATATTAGAATTCAAAATCACCCCAAAAACTTGGAGAAATGGTCTGAAAAAATAGGATGCAATTCAGTAAAGGCAAGTTCAAGGCTCTATGTTTAGGCAGCAATAACGAACAGCACAGAGAGGAGGTGAATGACAGGGCAGTACTGCTGCAGAAAATAGTTTTGAGATAGGGGAGGCATTGTGGACCACAACTCGACAACATAATGCCACTGCAAAAAAAGGCAAACATCATACTACAGCATATAAACAAAATAACCTGTGAGACTAGGGAAATTATGCTTCCACTCTGTCTGACACTGGTAAAACCCCCACTGAAATACTGTGCTCCACTTTGGGCACTATGTTTTTAAGAAATATGCAGGCCAGATGGAGAGAAGGCAGAGGACAGCAGAAGGAATGATCAGACATCTAGAAAAAATGTTCTAAAGAGAAAGCTTAAATCAACTAAGATACTTTTGCATAGACAAAAGTAAAATAAAGGGGAGACGTTCAAACAAATACATGGAAGGTGCAGAAGTACTTCACGTCCACTGGGAACAGGGTAGTAAGTCACAGGGCTTGAAGTGAAGAAAGGGAAGTTCAGGCAAGACACAAGTCAAAACTTGCTCATGGTACAGCTAGTTAGACAGAATGCTTGGAGAGGCTATGAAATGATCAGATTTTAGAGAAAACACAGATGGACATTTGTCAGAAGTGATTTAAATCCAGCTAAGCCTGATCTTTGGAAGAGGAGCAGTCTAGGTGAGATCCTCCCAAAATTCCTTCCAATTCTGTTTTCTAAGGCTTCTCTCTGATCTGATGCACTGGAACAATATAGAGCAACTATTACTTGGATCACTGACATGACCGATAAGAATAGAAGTGCATGATGTATTGTAATTATTAATGGGATGCATATGCATTAATGTAACGCTTTATGTGTTGGAGCTGTAGCGTGTCCAGAGGAGGGCAACGAAGTTGGTGAAGGGTCTAGGAGCACAAGTCTTATGAGGAGCGGCTGAGGGAACTGGGGTTGTTTAGTCTGGAGAAGAGGAGGCTGAGGGGAGACCTTATTGCTCTCTACAACTACCTGAAAGGAGGCTGTAGTGACGTGGGGGTTGGTCTCTTCTCCCTAGCAACGAGTGACAGGACGAGAGGAAACAGCCTTAAGCTGCGCCAAGGGAGGTTTTGGTTAGATATTAGGAAAAACTTCTTCACCGAAAGGGTGGTCAAGCACTGGAACAGGCTGCCCAGGGAAGTGGTTGAGTCTCCATCCCTGGAGGAGGGTATTTAAGAACAGATAGGTGTGGTGCTCGAGGACATGGTATAGATGGACTTGGCAGTGATAGGTTAACGGTTGGACTCGATGATCTTAAGGGTCTTTTCCAACCTTGATGATTCTATGATTCTATGTCCATGCTCTGTATTGACAGTCACAGCATGAAACAGCATAAACCATTTAGAAAAACCTGTTACACTTAGAAAAAGTCCTGAAATTCTTATATGTAATGTAGCCTTTATGGAAAAAAACATCCTTAGCAGACCATAGAGGAACCCATTACTTCCTGTCTTTGCATCAAATCCTCAAGGATCAGACAGATATGCCAGTCTTTGGTTGAAGGAAGAAGAATAGGACACTCCTAATAGGAAGACCGTAACATTTAGAATAGAATTCTAATACAGAGCACAGGAAGTCCAACAAAAGAAACTGTAAAATATCATCTTTAAGGCTTCAACCTTTCATATAAATCTAAAAAAATAAATACTATACAGGTCCTGACTTCAGCACAGATCTCCATGGGCAAAAAGCTGTGCCCACATAGACAAAGCAGGACTGGAGGATTAACATGCTAAGTGTCTTTTGCATAGGTCTCAACAGAGAAAACTCCAATTGTATACTCTCTTTGCAAGTCAGTGCAACTAAAAAAAAAAAAGGCAACTGAAAGAACAACCACCTGTAAGATACAAAGATATTTATCAATCAAAAAACATAGGGTGTTTTAGCCAGATGTAAATCTTTAATGTTGAGCCAAACTTCTACACTGAAGCTACAAACTTCTACAGCTACAGAAATTATATTCTACTTTTCCTACTTTGTGTTTGTATACACATGCATACATACACATATGTATATATCCTGCATGCTATGGCCTGTCAGTGTCACCCAACCTATGAAATTCTATAGACAGCTTTTGCTCATAAATCTAGCAGGCACTTTTTCTTTCAGTAGAACAAAACCTTAATCTAGTTTCAAGGATTGTAAAAGACAGCTCCTGTGATTCACCCCCTCCCCTCAACAGAAGCACTGCTTGTTAATCCAGCAGGAAATAACATTTGCCAGGATTGACAGCTGTGGATTTGTATTCAATTCTCAAATTAAAAACCAATGACAGGGCCGAGTTCAATGGAGACGTCAAGCAAAATAAAGTAAAAAACCTGCTGCTTTCTCTGTAAAATACAAACACACATACATTTTGGATAACAATACTAAAAGCTGGGAAGGAGATATAATGGGATTAAAGCTGTGTGCAAAGTTTCTCCTGAGGTATTTTGTTGTTGGTTTTTTTCCCCCTCCAACAACTCACATTTTGTATTTTTCCTCTCACATATTAAGTTTTCCTCTTACTCCTAATAGATGTTTTAAAACATGTTACAATCTACTTCAATAACTATTTAAAACCCTGCAAAAAACAAAATGTAAAAATTTTCACAGTCAAATCAGCAAAATCTTCATATATAACATTAATTATTGTCCAATTCAAAGAAGGCTTAATAGCCGAAATATTATGAAGCGATCCAATGGTACAAGTTCTCATGTTTCTGCAAAATTGTGTTAATGGTAAATCAGAGTCCATCTTGGGCAGCTTCTATTGTTATCAGAATAATAAGAATCAGAGTTGGAAAATGCCTGACACAGTAAAGACTGGCTGATTCCTAGCGCTGTAACAAACCGCTCTGAAGAGCTCCATGCAACTTTTCCCAGTTCTAATAGCCTTTGGAATAAATCACAATAGTATCATTATTACTGGGAATTCAATCCCATTATGAGTTTATAATTCCTTAAGTCTCTTTAAATACTCCTCTCGCTTGCTGAAAATTACACCTTTCATATACTTTCAGATGTCCATGTTCCTCCAACACACTGCTTAAATGAGGGAACAGGGAACATTAATTTACATTCAAGACACTTCAGCAATCTGTGAAACAACAAAATGCAAACTACTATTTACCTGTAAGAAGTGATCCTCCTTAGGTCTGTAACGGAAACACGATAGCCACACTCTTCTAAGACTTCCTCACATGCAATTTCTTCTAAAGAAAGGTCTGGTTTGTCTACAATGCCAGCACAGAGTTCATAGGTCACTCCTACCACAGCAGGTAAGGGATTCTCTAGACGAGAGAAGTTCTCCTTGTCCTGATGCTGAAAGACTTGAGGATGATGTCTTTCTACTTCACACATGTAAACAGCTTAAAAAAAAAAAAAACACAAAAGAAAAAGAAACAAGTGTGTGTGGGATGTTAGTTTGTTCATATTAAATAGAAAAAAAAGATGGTACACAAATTTTGCCTGGAAATTTATAACCATCAGAGTACTTGAGAGTAACAAGGAATTCAGTTGTGTTATCTGTTAAAATCATGACATACTGAAATTGGAATTTTAGAGAACAAAGGTTTCTGTAAAATTATTCTTTAAACTCTATTTGTGCTTACATCATTTGGAATGAATTCATGCACACCTTAAAATAAATACGAATAAAAAAAGGAAGCTAGTTCATCCAAGAAGTCTAAGTCCCAGAAGCTCCACACAGCTTCCATTTGTTGGGCAATGCGGATATCAGGATTTAATTTAAACTATGCAGTTATCTTCAAGGAAAGTTGGGTTGCACATTAAGTACCATGTGCACAATGATGAGTCTTTCAGCCTGTCAACTCAGCTGTTATTTAGAAAGGGTATGAAAAGCATGTATGTTTGTTTGAAAAAAAAAAAAAAAAAACAAAACCCAACCCTCTTTTGAACATATAGTTCCTTGCACAGATTCCAGTGTGGAATCTGAAAAAGACTTCTTGAATTAATCTAGAAACAGCTGCCACTGTAATGCACTGCTAAAGAAAGTGCAAATGCCAGATTTTAGTCCTTATGTAAGCAAAACCTCTCACTGATGTCAACAGAAATTTTGCCTGAGTGAGAACTGCAGGACTGGATGTTAACACACAAGGAATCACTACCAACAATTCCAATCATTGTAACTTTAGCTTACAGGTGTAATCCTTTTCTTCTTTGAAATTTCCTCATGTCTATACCTTTGCTTTTCATGAAAGGTTACCATGAGGGTGTTATAAAACACCCTGAATAAGACTATTTTGAAATTTGGCATTATTTTTATTCCATTAAAATATTTTACATGCATATTTCATATACATGTAATATGGTTTTCAAATGAGCTTATCTTTTATTTCCCATTCTAAATGTTACAGAACTGGTATATAAAAGAGCTCAAGTTTAATAGACAACTCTTTGCTCTTCACGTTATGGAATTTAGCTCATTATTTCTTAAAACTGTGATATACAACAAGGTCCCTAAAGAAATGTTGTCACATAAAAGTAAAGCACCACAGTGACTTCTTAAGCACTTGGTCTCTGGGGCAGAGTCTATACCCCAAAAGTTTGTGCCTAGGCTCTTTCTAGAATGCTTCTTGCCTCAGAATTGTAGTACAGCAAGATCAGCACCTGAACGGGAGATGTCTAGATCAGTCTAAAAAGAAAGACAAAGTGCAGAAGTTTGCCCAAAAATTAATCTTTCTCCAGAATTTAAAACCTTCAAAGCTGTTTGCAGTACGTACATCTAGGCCTTTGAGATTCAAATATATAAGGAAATGAGCTTCCATTTCTCAGTTGAAAAACATGACTAGAGCTCAGTTTTCTTTTTAAAATGGAGCAAGGTGGCAAAAAAAAATATTCCATGCAGAGTCTGAAGGACAGATCCTTGAAGGGTATCTATTGTCATTATTCCAAAAACTTGTAAAAGCTATGACAATTATCATAAATGACAACTACCTTCAGGATCTCTCTGAGATGAGCCAAATACTCCTAAGACTATATTGCTTTTTCAGTATTGACTTATCTGTATCAGTAAATACAAAAAGGAACAATGAATACATCCCAATAAAGGACTTGGGCAGCAAACCAGGATGCAGGTAAGAGTGTGGGTACAGAAATACGAAACTGTGACTAAAGTAACTCTCTGTTACAAGTCTCCGCAATCCCTGAAACCCATCCTGTCATTCCGGCAGGCACCTGCCGTTCTCCTTCTCCCTCAGCACAACTGGGCTCCACGTAGATCAAAACCTACATTCCCAAAAGGATTCCATCCAGCAGTCCTCCTCAGAGCAAAGCCAACACTCAGAGCACACTAACAGCTTTTCTCTGCAGATAAGAAAGAAAAGAAGCGGTACCAGCAACTTCTGTAAGAGTCCAAAAACTAGATCATTCACTGAGGAATCACAGTATGAATTCATTATCAGCAGGCTCAGAAAGGTTCAAACTCAATCTATCTCTCAGATAAGCAAAGCCCAGCAAACCAACCTGCCTGCTAGTATCAGGGAACAGAGGTGTCCCCCATACCTCTCCTGAAGGTGCAAAACTGACTGCACAAGTGATGCACCAGGGGAGATGAAGTACCAGATGGAAAAGCAGTCTGTGGCCTGTTTGCTAGGGCACACTCTTGGGAGGGAACGTGTGGCTCTCCTCTTCCTCATCACAGGTTGTCAGCTCATTGCAAATGCACAAAGAGTTTGGAGAGCAGAAACTGGAAGCAAGAACTCAGCTCCCAGCACAGTCACCCACCCACTAGTCCCGTGTCTGACTGCTCCCTTGTCTTCTGATGGCTTATGCTACTTCATCATCACCGGGCAGCCTCCTCCATCATCAGATGGACACATGCAATGAGCAGCAGCACAGTGAGGACTCAACCAACCACCTAGTGCTCATTAAACATCTTGACTAATTACCCCAGAGTCACTCAGTGGTAAGTCGTCTCAGAGTGGAAACTCCAGTAGAATTGGTGTACTTGCCTTCCTTTCTGCAAAGCTGGGACAAAGGATAGATGGCTTAACCAAACTCATCAAATAAGATCGTAACTGTTATTCGAAGCAGCCCTGTTAGATGGCTAATACACAGGGACGTGTTTGATATCTCTAAAGAGAAGGAAACAACAGTACGGACTGAGGGGTTAGTGGGGTTTAGCTGCCTGGGGAACGTGCTAGCTTTTCTTTAAACTTCTGATTTCTCTTTGATTGCACTGGTACTTTGTACCTCCTGAAACAACATGGCTTATGATTCAGATCTTTGATACTGTTTCTTTTAAGTCAATGCAAAAATAAACACCACAGTCCATTGAAAGGTCATTATACTTAGAGTGAAAAGAAGAGGGCACATGTTCATAGGTACTAACCCTAGCCTTTCCCAGGAACATATTATTTTATTATATTTGAAAACGTGTGGTCAATTGACTACCAAAATGAGCATTGCCCAAGACCTTGGCCAACCAGTCATAGGTGAGGAACTAATATGGAAACTACTGAGATATAGGTGTAACTTTCTTCCTCTCTGCTCGTTACAAATGATTCATTCAGGACGATCTAAGTCCACAGTACACTGAAAAATACGGTCCTGTCTGCCTCACCTCATTTGTGTGCTCCTGCCACCCCTCAAGCCCACATGAAGTCTTCCAGGCCAGTCAGATAAGCTGTCTAATCCTCAAAATTATCTGTTTGCAGCCATATAAGACCTCTGCTGTGGCTGCATAAGGGCTAGTGCTGCCAAAGGGAATGTGGTAGGAACGTACACACGGGGAGGGATGACTGCCTTTATAAGCAGCGCAGACTTCAATGGGAAAACCTGATTATGACACCGTACTCTAAGGAAAGGCAAGTGCATGTGTCCTCCAGCACGCGTGCAGGGGATGTGCCTGGTGAGTGAGCGGCAGCTGTTTGCTCACAAGTAAGGAGCTGTCGCCTTCCTGGTGGGACCCTGACAGGAGCTAGCAATGAGAAAAGTCTCAGCCTTAATTTTTGTTTGTGGAACAGGCACCAAGGCAGACAATAACCATGGAACAGAAATATAATTATAGTGATGTGAGTAATGTCAAGGCATGGTTGCGATCACTGAACTGCTATGGAGTGTCTGACTGACCACTGTCCCTAAGGGCAGGTTTCTGAGCAGCTCCAACCTCTGGAACAGGTTAACTCCAAGAACAGTCCAGTCTTTTGAGGCAGATTTGACACTTCCATAGGGATGATGTAATGAACATGTCGCTCTTCAGTACATATATACATATGTATATATATATATACACACATATATACATATACATATGAAGGCTTCTGCCTAAGATTGCCTCAAAGAGAGCAATAGCCATCTGAGCCATTTTATTCGGATGGCAAATAAGAGACATCATTGGATTATTGATAAACAAATAAACAAACACTTTCTCTTTATATAGTCAATATAGTGCTTCACGAGAAGTAAGCACTGTCAGTATAACAGTACTGCACAACACTGAAGAGCCTGTCAATCACTGTCAGTAAGAAAGGACAGCATGACACCACCCCTGAAAGTTTCCTATAAAGTCTACCAGGAACAGTCTTGAAATGGTCTCCTAGCAACAGTGAAGTATCTTGTGATTTTTTTTTAATTAACACGCAGAGAATATGCATTTAATTTTTAACTTCCAAAAAGTAAATATTGCTTTCAATTGAAATAAATGATACAAAAACTCAAGAAAAAAACCCGCATATTAACCTAAATTCATAATAACTGGTAAAATGAAGCTGTCCACATATTGATGAAAAAGCATACAGTCCTAAATTTCCCTCATTTTAAATTCCCAAGTATAGAACACACAATAACACATCCAAAAAAAAGGAATATTTAAGAAAAAAAAAAAAAAGGAATGTTGTGCTTCTGCACAGAAGCTGCCTACTAAATACTAGATAGGTCAAGAAGGAACTTCAAATAAAAGCAATCTATTGCACAATAATTGTAGAGCTGTTTGCAATTTCACCCGAAAGAGGACAATGACTAGCCCAAAAGCAGAATGCAAGGCTACCCTGATCATTCATTTCATCTATAATGGAAATTTCCCTGGTTAGAAATTCTGACCAACTGAAAAGGGTGGGCTATCATACAAAGAAACAGAATATAGAACAAAGATTTTATCACCACAGATGCACCAACTTTTAACTGCTAAACCCTTAAAAGCTTGCTTCACTAGAGAGCAAAAGTAAATCTAAAAAAAGAGGATTACCTGGGCGGAACTGCTTCACCACAACAAAGCACTGCCGAGAAGTATTAAAGATCAGGATTGACACACTGAGGAGGAAGATAAAAAACAAAAGATCAATGCTTTATGAAGGATTAATGCAGAACTATTAAACTTACATCTTGTGAATTTAATTTTAACTACATAGAAGATTTATTACTAAAGCCACAATGCAACAAGATCCTTGTCCAAAATCCATCAAGAGGGACAGATAATGGGTCGTGTTCCCAAAACCCATGACAATTTACCCAAAATTAAGTCACTTTTGCTCCTGCCATGCAAAATATGCCACCAATCAATTCCTTCTCCCCAACAGCAAAAAAAATATCCAACTCTGGGAACATTGCTACTAGATAGTAATAAAAAAAAAAATCCTTAAAAATAAAAAAAATTTCGTCCCTTATATCAGTCCCAGATTAGGGTAGTCTAACTCTTAGGCACAGTCTAGTCTCATTCAGAGCCAGAGACTTCTCTATAAGAACAGAGCATCTCCTATCTGTGGCTGCTTGCTGAGCTTGGGCCTTAAAACAGACACCATCCAAGTCCAATTTTGCACAAATTTAAACCAGAAGCAGCTTTAACTGTTACCACACTCAGTGGTTTAAAAGTAACATTTTAATCTTTCCCCTGTCCTCTTTAGTTGTTTGAAATACATGTCATAGGGAAACCTGGCAGGCTGAGTATTTGGAGATGCTCTAAAAGTGTGGAGTACTGATGTCCCCTGGTCTCTTTCTCAGTTAAATTACTCTCAGATTTTATTAGTTAAATAAAATGCAGACAAAAGTCTCTCTCCTTAGTTGGTAGCCCATTAAAACCAGCAAAAACAAGTGTATATTTTGCTCATTACCATGGTAGCATTCTCTCATTTGTTATGCCTCACTGTATGCAATTGGAAAGTTAATTCATTATTCTATGAATTCTACAATAGATTAGGCTAACAATGGCATATTTGCAGAGTTGAGTCAAACTTTCAACTTTCCTTGTAAAAGAGCTGTATATTTATTTTCACCATTTGATTTAATAATGAAGTCTCAGGCTGCCAGAGAAAGTGCTATTTGGTGATTATTAAAAATAATGTTAATGTTTATTATAACAATATATTAAAACCAAAACAGAAGGGAGAAGTCCAGATGTTAACGTTTATATTCATGGCTGCTATTCTCAAAGACCTGTAGTGCATATTGATGGCTTCCTGCCCCAGGAGATGTCATTTGCAGGCAATTTTAAAGGAAAGGGGTTTCGCCTTCGGAGAGGCTGGAGGAGAACATTCACTCTGTTTACTGGCACGAGGGTTCTTTCTGACCTAACACCAGAATAACTGGGAGTTACGGTGTAGGTTGCTAGAAGAGATGAAGTTAAACTACAGCCTACAATGTTTTTAAGTTTACTTAAGTATTATTCTTTGATCTTTTTTTTTTTTTCCCTTTGCATGATTGTTCCTCTCCCCAAAGCAGTACGGTCTGAGAGTAGACATTGCACTAAATAAAAGGGGAAAAGGAATTACTGCTACTGAACCTTTGTTTTTTGTCCATGGGTCTAAGGATATGCACTGCCTGAAAATGGAGACAGCAGCAGTTTAAACCTGAGGATAAAGAGAATAGATTTCCTGAAGCATATGGTTGCCCTTTACCTTTCTTTACATCCACCACCCCAGGCCCAATCTTTTACTTGGCTTGCCTTCTTCAGCACATCTCATTAAATAACTCATACCAACTCATTAAAAATGGCTCAGCTATTAGACATTATTTTTTCCTAAGAGTCAATCACTTGAGATTTTTATGGAACAGATGGGAAAATTAAAAACAATCTGTCAGAATTAAGGAACAAGATCAAATTAAGCTGGAAAGGAGTAGCAGCAAGTTATTACAATTGTCTGCTTCTCACACCATCTTGAGATGAGAGGGTACAGAAATGGCACAAATCTGTAGAACTTTCTATTTAATTACTTCTAATTTTCTGAGAGACTGACAAACAATTTTGAACATAAATTTACATTTTTTAACAAACCACAACACACAAGTTCTAATATTTCTTGTCAGAGTTGGAGACTCATGGAGGAGAAAGTTCAGAATTCCACCTTCTTAGGAGGCGTGTGACATTACTAATGCCATTTGGTACTTTTTATTCCACAAGAAACAATATAACATGAAATATTTCCACAGGTCACTAGGTCTGTAACTTCTGAAAACCCATTTGAAGCTGCATTCAGAGCAGTTACTTGAATATTACAGAAAGTTAGGGCAAGACTGTTCAATTGATCTAAGTGGAGGATCCCCTGAGCCACTGCTTTCAATGGGTTTCCTTACTGCTGCAACAACCCAAATATGTGGGTTCACCTGTTTGGTCTGGCCTAGAAGATAAGGAAAGTATTTATCTTCTAGAGTTTTAAATCATCACACAAAGAATTCACTACAAAATTATTTCAAGATTACTATTTTTACAGATGATACGGGCTACCAAAAAGGACTACTAGAAAAGCAGAGTTGCAAATACATCTTTCAGTGGTATCATACCACAGGATATTACAAGGGTATTTGACGTTTCTAGGCAATTCCCTTTAAAGTATTACAGCCAATCCTATTTTAGAATATTATATATGCATCTACAAGCTTTAAAGTTATCAACAAAGAGTAAACATATAAAATAAAAAATTATAACATTCACAATGACTTTTCGGAACATCTCCACAAATAAAAGATACAGAAGATAAACAAAGCCCAAGCTGTACGTTATCAGAGAAAAATCACACAGGACCATTAGAAGAGAAAAAAAAAGCCCAGCCAAATTTCCTAAAAAAGCAGGAATCCTAGACAAGAATTTAATCTGAAATGGATATCAAAGATCCTAACCTAGCAACAGGCTTCATGTGCCCATGTCCCAAACAGGAGCACAAGACCACTTTTTTATTATTTTTTACGAAGGAAAAGAATACTCAGGTGTAAAAGGACCATGATGGATCCAAAACTTGCCTCCGTACCTTAAAAACAAGCTATAACAAGTTCACACAAATGAAGCACTGTCTCAGCTTAGACCTGCTAATCTTTTCATTTTGGGTGGCAGACTATTACTTTTTACCATGTTCCACACTTGTACATCTTTGCTGGCTATTCCTCCAGCAGCTGACACTCACAAGAAATTGCTGGTATAAAAGGAGAGGTCGTGAATGCAAATGAAATGCCACTGAGCCGCAGACCTGCACCCGGGACTCAACGAGCACACAGCACAACTGCTGCGTGCAGGTATCATGTTTGGTACCTGCCACTGCCCGTGGGCAGTGTAGGTAGGCAAGAGGTGGCTGAGGAGAAAACTCTTCGAAACATACTCTGTGTGTCATTCAGGAGATATAATTTGCTTCTTTAAGACATAGACCACCTCGGACCAATGAAGGATACTTGGCTCCTTCACACTGCATCTGTCCGTGGCTGCTTTAGGAACTACAATCGAACAGAAAGACAACATATTAAGAGATGACACAGGTTTGTACAGTGTCTTCCAGGGGTGGTGAAGACCACAGGGCTGCTCAGCTTTCAGCCCAGCCCCTCCTCGGCTTCCTCCTGCAGTAGCTCCTGCTCACTTTATACATACAATAAATCACTACTCCAATTGCGGGAGACTTTTTCCCAAAGAAGGCATGCATGTAAACAGGTTACTGTGAAATAGTGTAGGATACTCTTCTTTCTATAAGTATCGGAACAATTAGGGTGACCTTAAAATATTTTAAGAAAGATGTACCAAAAATGTCAGCAAGACATATCTACACAGACCAGCTAACCTGTACTTGAGCATTTATTGTACTCAAGTTTGCAGTTAAAGTGTGCCAGGTCTTGGTATCTAACACAATGTTTTCTTAAAGGGATTCCAACTATTCAGTCAAGGATCTCATGTAGCATTTAACCATTTAAACTTCAAAGAAAATCCTGACTGAAATAGTCATTAGGATTCTTTAATTGATATTTGGCTTCTCTAAAATGTCTAAGTCAATATGCAGAAATTACATACAAATGACCCATGGACATCTGCAACACAGGAGTCCAGAACCTTAATTCCTTCTCCACCTTTAAGACTCTCATTGAAAGAGAAGATAGCCACCTGAACACAACCTTTACAGTTGAAAACACCCCTTACAAGAGTTTAGAAAATGACTCTATTGTGTGCCACTGGCCTAGAAAACTATTTCCAAATTTTTTCCTTCCCCCAACATAGTACAGCTCTGTATTTATTGAACTCATGGTAACTGATCCTTTATGACACTCCAGTAGAGCAAACATTTATACAGAAATACTACTACAACTTCACAAACTCAAACCTGAGAAAGGAAGGTGGTGTTTCTAGGAGCAATGTAAAAAACGCAGTATTTGTCCACAGCAGTTACGAGGTAGGGGACAGATGAAAACTGACACCCTATTAAAATGTGCAGACACATATGGATGGACAGAAAGTTAATTCTTTTGAAATACATCCTAGCAATTAAGATCAGCAAATGAGCTTTGCCAAAGCTACAAGAACATGTACTTCTAGGGCTCCAGTACTTGAAGGAAGGCTTTGGGGGGGGAGGTTAGGGGGCTTGAGGCTTTTTTGTGGTTTTGTTTTTTTTTTTTTTGCTGGGGGGTTTTTT